AGATTCGTACAGTAGCCGATCAATTTCGGGTGCGGCGCTGGTAGCGTGATGAATCTGAGATTTCACCGCTTTTACCGCTGCGGCCGTTTTACTGATGTACTCGCGGAGATCGCGAATCTCGGTCAGAACGCCAGCAGTTTTCCGACCTCGTCGGCGTTTGCTGCGAGTAACCGGAGATCGCTCCTCGGCAGTTTTTGTGTATCACGCAAAGTCGAGTTCCTCCTCGTCTCCAGTAAGAGAACGCTCGGGAGAAGACTCTGGTGGAGGGCTGCGAGTTTTTCTTCTCCTAGGATGGACGTCAGCGTCCTCGTCTGACGAGTCGGCTTGGTCGCTCGTTTCCAGATTAACCCTTTCGATGCTGTCGCCCTCGGTCTCCTGTTCGCGAGTAGGAGGTTTTTCCGATTCGTTCAGCGTCGCGTCAGGGTTGTCTTTTCCGGAATCCTTCTCCGGTAAGTTACCCTACTCGGTTCTGGGGCGATCCATAGGAGTCACGAAATCGAGCCTCCTTCCGCGGATTTTAGTAGTTCCGCAGAGGCGAATTGCTCTGGTTTTCGCAGTTAGGGTTTTGACCCGTTTTGCGAACGAACCGATGAGCTTTTCCATAAACTCGGAAAGCATCTTTTCGATGGTCTCGGCGTTACCGTTTGTAGCGTTGGCCGCAGACGCATCTTGTGGTGGTGGTGTTTAATCAACGTTATCGCGTTCGTTGGGAGTTTGTTGGTCACCAATCATTGTTTCTTCGTTGGACATGTTGCGGCTTCGGTGTAAGATAGATCCGACCCCCCCCCCCTCCTTCTAGCGCCAAACTGTGGGAACCGAAATTCACCTGCTGTCAATGAATCGTAAATAAGGAATCTTTGAGTAAACCCTAAGTTTCCAGAGGACCCGGCTATCTGCAGAACCGCACAACGATAATTAAGAAAACGACGAACTCAAAATTAAAGTAAGAATGAACAAGGTTGAGAGCAAGAAGATTTTTATTCCGAATCTGCGTAATAACTGTTACAACGAGAGGGGCCTTAGCTGCGTGATCCGTCGGCGAAATCCCTAACATTAGAAGTCTAAGACCGAAAACCCTAGTTGAGACGCAGCTCGCTAATAGAAGACGGAAATATTCCTAAATGCTAAGTTTGGTGGTGAAAGCTCTGAAAATCGTGTCCCTGCTTCTGTCCTATGCCTCTTTCTTATATACTCCTCTCCTAGGCGGTTTAGTCTTTCCATTTCGCCCGGATTCGAGTTTATCGGGAATCTTCCATTTATCTCGATCCTTTTTTTTCCCACGGAAATCTTCTATTTATCTTCAAACTTGCCATTTATCTTTAAACTTGACATTTATTTTCCTTCTGCGAGTAAATTTTCAAAACGTTATCGTATCTTCGGGTTAGATTTCGTTAAGATCGCGAGATGGGCTTTATCGCGTTTTAAGACCTTCCAGGCCGTTTTGCGACTTTGTACGAGATCGTTTCCTGATCCGAAGCCGTTTTTAGTAAATTTCCCGAGTGAATCGTAAAGTTTAGCTACGTTCGTTTCTTTGTTAATCGTTGCCGTTTTTACGATTCACTCGACGTTTTTATTAAAAACGCGTTTTATACGATTTTTACGAAAAATCTCGAATGAATCGTATAGTTTAGGCAATGTTCGGTGTTTCATTTAACCGTTCCCGTTTTATACAATTTCCTCGAGTTCTTTTCGAGAAAACAAAGTTTTACGGTTTTTATCGTAAAACTCGAATGATAGGACGGATCGAGACAAAACGGAAGACATTTCGACCATGGTTCGGAACACGATCGTGTCAAAGAACGTAAGCCTTGAATCGGGGATACGGGAGATCGAGGCTCGGGATGGTCGGTTCAACGTATGGCGAGCCGAGACGGACTGGTTCAGCTCGCCGTTTGGCGAGCTGCCCGGGAAGCTTCTAGCTCGCCGTTGGGTGAGCTAGTCGGGACGAGGCTAGCTCGCCGTTGGGCGAGCTAGTCGGGACGAGACTAGCTTGCTGTTGGGCGAGCTAGTCGGGACGAGACTAGCTCGCTGTTCGGTGAGCTAGTCGTGTCGGGACTAGCTCGTGTTTTACGGCGGTTTCGGTTTTTCGCGGTTTTGTACTTAACTCGGACGATCATGTAATCGACGTTTGTTTCGTTTTTCCGAGATAACGATCTTCCGAGTTTTCCGCGGATTTCCTTTGTTCGGAAATCTCTTTCGGATTCATAAAATGATTTCTCGAGTTTTATAAAACGATTCTTCGAATTTTATAAAACGATTCCTCGAGTTTTATAAAACGATTTCTTTTATCTTTTTGCAGGGTGTTTAGGCTATTGATTCCATCGTACCGATTTTGACCCCAACAACTAACACATTTAAACCTGAACACATAAGCATAAACTTCACTTACAAAAATAGTCGCGGACCCTCCACATCTTAAGGACCACAATCACATGTCGACGATCTCCCCTGTTTTCAAACCCTTCCCGGAAGGCATAAGCATGTTTCCCAGTTGCTATACATTTTATCTGACTCTCACTATGATGAATAAAACAAGGTGAGTCAAACATTTTGTTTTGATCATATGTTACTTAATACTTACATGTTGTCCCTTATGTAAAACACCATCTTTGGTCCTTCAGGATCATCAAAATGGGCTTCCGTCTTAAGGACCACTCCCATTATATCTACCAGATAAGTATATTCGATTCCGTTACTTACATATGAAATATATTTATTAGTTAGAATTCATACCTATGGGAAAATTTCTCTCCTTATTGTGGAGGGGAAGCCACCATTTACCTATCAAATCACTCTTAAATGTAAGAGTTACAACTTGTAGTTGGGGTAATAAATCATTATTACACAAATTAAATTAGTTTTCATTTATTATCCATTATTTTTCTTAATAAATAATATATTTATTTTTTAAAGGTTTACATAGTTTCATATATTTTGATTATCAAAATTGTTACACTTATCTAAATTGTTAAACGTTTTCTTAGTTTCATATATTTAGACAATCTAAATAAGTAGTTTCACTTAGTTTAAAAAGTTATTTATTTTTATCATTTAAAGTCTTACAAAGTTTTAAATCCAACACATGCGAGTGTTGTAGTAAGAAGTCGTGCCTTCTCGAGACCTCCATCAAATCACCCTTAACTCCGTGATAAATACAAATTTATCTCTTTTCCACTGTTGAAGATCATCACTATTATAAAAGGGTTTATCATTTTGTCCAAATAAAGAAAAAGTTAATCTTTCCATTTACGTGATTAAACAAATATCTCTCACCATGTCGAACTCTAACTTGGCTTCTCTCCCTCCTTCCATGCTTCACAAGATTCTCTCTAAGGTAGCAACAAACCATCTTCGGGACTTCGGTAGTGCAAGAGTTGCATTACCCGCCTTCAATGAAATTGGCAGAGAAGAATACTTCTACAAATCTTCAGATCTTATTCACTTCAATGACTGGATTGATGAGGTTGATGTTGTCAGAACATACATGCTTAAGTGCTACTAAGCCGGTAATCCCCAGGCCATCTATATGCAAGGTATGTATGAGTTCGTTGTCCTCCATTTACTTGATCAAGAAAGGTAAAAATTTGTCTTGCTGGTGAGAGGGGATTTTTGTTGGCTAAGTATGTTGATGATATGTCCAACTTAGCATTTAGTGTTGATGATAGAGGACTGGTTCACAACTTTCCTACTTTTATATGTAAGTTGCTGATCAGATGAATCATATGCTCGCTACTGAGGTATCCTCAAGTCATTGGGGTTACGAAAGACCACAGATCTTTATGTCTCTATTGGAAAAGATAGATCCCAACATCAATTATAATTGCTGGTGCGCGGAAATGATACAACTAGTGTTTATTGTCAAGAACACGGTGGAAATGCAATCGTTGTTTCTGGTAATGTGTAGTTTGGGACTTCTGCAATGATATTCATTTGAACGCTTCTCCATGGCCAATTGAAGATTAGGGATAAAATATTTTCGTGTGTTTATAAGTTGTGCACTTTTCTAAACCTTATGTAAAATATATTTTCCTTAATGTAATGTCTTTAGTTTTTATTTATTTTAATTTCACTAAATATATCAATAACATAATGCAAATGAATAACGGTAATCAAAGCTGAATCGATATGTTATTACTAAATATATCAATAATATATTACAAATGTACAAGATATAATCAAAAATTAGGTTCAGGTTTATTAAGTTGTATAGTTACCACAAGTGTGAATTAGTTCAACTTAGATTACAGTTATACTTATACGAAGTTATATAATTACACAAAGGTTTAGTAATGTTTCTGAAATTATGGACACTGGAGATCCGAATTTTATGATTCGGATCTGGATGGTCTGCAAAATACCCTTGGTTGTCTTGTAATTATTCGAGTTTCTTTCGATTTTCTGGTCTTTTATTAAATTTTTTTATTTAAATAAAGATTTATTCGGATTTACTGGGGGTGAATTTCGGGCATGAGTATTTGAGAATAAAAATTTTCGGATAGAACTACTGAAGCATTTGATTCAAAAAGTTACTTGAGCTGAACTTGGTTGATAGGTTAGCGAGATTCCAACCTCGATAATTGGGCTTCTTGAACCATGTTAAAAGCAGCATGTGTGAAGTCTGACAGCAACAAACTCTATTTTTTGACAAATTTCTTACTTTTGTTTTTAGAAGCCACACATTGACTGTCCAAGTCATTCCAAGAAGCAGGGCACATCACAGAATTAAAAGGTAAATCAACAAAAATACGAAAGTTTAAAGCAAAAACACAAGCGAGATATTAAGAAAGCGCAAAAATGCAGAAATACGGAAAGAACTTTTATTTCTACTCAGAAGTCCAGAAAACGAAAAGAACATATAACGGTAACATAGGTTCGAAAATTCAGAAAGGCAAAAACACAGGAGTCTACAAGTCTATTACTGACAAAAAAAAAATAACAACACCTGAAAAGTTGCTCTAGAAAAAGCAAACATTCAACGGCTGAGATTTTCTCGTCAAGTTTCAATCGATTTTGACAGAGGAAAACAGATAGTGCACGAAGTAAAAGGAAGTAAGGAAGCCAATGGTTCCCGTAGAGAGCATTATTGCAATGGCCATAAGCAGAGAGTAGCCTATGTAAAGCATAGCCGAGACCGGTCCGCTCAGACTTTGGAGATCGAATACCAAATAGTTGATGGAGTAAGCAAAAACATACAAGGCCACTGAACCAGATGCGAAGAAGGCTTTCCACCACCATCTCCAATCTTCCACGCAGAGGTGCATATAGGTCAACACCACTGATACCTCTGCACACACAACTACTAAAAGAAGCAGCACTATGAGTAAGAACCCGAATACGTAGTAGAATCTGCCTAACCATATGCTGGAGAAGATGAAGAAGAGTTCTATGAATAGAGTTCCGAAAGGAAGTGTTCCTGCTCCAAGGACGAGAAGCCATGACGGGTATTTACGTTCTGGGATCTCCCTTGGAATCTGGTTGGTTCTCACTGGAAACTGAATTGCTTCTGCTCGTGTGCCTAAGAATCCTCCAAACAAGGTGAGCGGAACCGAGATGCAGAACCAGAGAGCCAAGAGCTCAAAGTAGAGTGATATCGGGATGGCGCCAGTGCTGTTGCTGCTCCAGAGAAGGAAGTTCAACACTGTTAGTATAACAAAAGCAATACCCGGGAAGAAGCATGCGATGGACCAGGATAGTGATCTCCATCCTTCTGAAGTTCCTTTGACGGTTCTCCAGAGCCGAACACCAGCGTACCCAGCAGCAATACCCAAGAAAAGATAGAGAATAATCATCCCGGTTAGTAACATTCCTCTTGAAGCAGGCGACATGAATCCAAGTGCTGCGAAAACAATTGTGACAACAGCCATTCCCGTAATCCGAACACCGTCTCCCACCATAATGCATAGAAGCTTTGAAAGCTCTGGTTCTCTGAACACATCTCCGACGACAAGTTTCCATCCAGAGAGCTCTTCATTCATCTGTGCCTGTGCTTCCTTGTCCAGTTCCTCGTACTTTGTCAGATCCCTTCTAACCGTCCTGAGGAATATGACAAAGACAATACCGGCGAGAAAGACAATCACCATAAGCGAGTTCAGAATTGAGAACCAATGGACACGAGCACCTTCCATTTTCAAATAAGCATCCCATCTTGATGGCCATTTGGTCTCGCTCCTAACAAATTCGACTTCATAAGTGAAGGTTATCCTTTCATGTTCTTTTATGATCTGGGCTTTGTCAAGCTCCAAGGGACAGTTAACTGAAGGAACAGGGTCATACATGTGAAGTTTGGTCATTTTTTCAGGATCGTACTTCACACTGCATGGAATAACCTCAAATCCAACAATCTCATAACCCAGGGCCTTCTTTTTATCAGCTTCAGAGATGACACCCATACCTTCTTCACCCGTGCCAATGACCTCCATGACATTGCCTTCGTATTGGTGGACCAGGACCTTAAACTTGAGATGATTGATGATGTAATCGTCATTGCTGTTGGGTGGTGAATATCCAACAGGGTATCCAGTCCACTGGATGGTAACCCCATTTTGCTTGGCGAATCTCAAAGCTGGCAAGTTATCGAGGATCATATTCACTTGGTACAACTCCCGGGTCCTCTGTTTCAAGAGCTTGACCTCATGCTCGTTCAGAGGACTGGTGGTGCAGAGATAGAGAGACTCGTTGGTGTTCATCCGGAACCTATAGGCAGAGTTGTCAATCTGATCCCCCATGAGAAGCTCCCCAAGATTCTCAGCACTTTTCTTGATGCCCTCAAGTGGTTTGCAGTAAGGAAGACTATAGAAACTGAAAGGAAGCT